TCATGCCGCCCGCTCTCACTATCAGCTGTGCCCGCCCGCTTAAGTAGCCAATGCAGGCCCATCATCATCATCATCATAGCCTCATCAATTTGTTCCCGTTTCTCTCATTTACTACTTATTCGAAACGAAATGAATGTTGTTCCCAGCGCCACTCTCTTTATCAGCTGTTCCCAATTAACACGCCAGCAGCAGCAGCCGCAAAACCATATGCAGCGCAGTCAAAACAGCAGGCAAAGGTATGTACTGGCTGAGGGGAGGGGAGGGAGTGTTTGTGTAAAAAAGCCCGGTGTGGACAAACGGTAAAATGCAATACAAATAACGGCAGCCGGCAGAAGTTCGTCCTTCAGGTCCTGCAGATGCATATTGCCGTAGCGTAGCCATTTCCCCTCCCTTGTCGACGTTTTTCCACTCAATTAGGGTAGCAAAAATACACATACGGTACCGTTTTTAGAGAGTGTAAGGAAGAGTGAAAGGACATTTGCCTATAAACATATTTCCCAGACCAGATCGAAGGAGAAACGGGAACAACAGCCGAATGTTGTTGTGTTGCAGCCATATGTGTGTCGACGGCGTGCGGCGCAGTTGTTATCCTTGTGTTTTTGCCTCTCTCAGCCACAGTCGCGCATTGTTAATCGTATCCTGCGTAATAGCATAATAATCCCTAATCGCATCTGATCTGTTCACCTGGCTGGCGCACAAACACACTCACCTCGCCTCTCTTTCTGGCCCGCGCCGGCTGCACACAATCCGCATTTTGGCTTCCATCGAACGATCCTTTGTGTGAGTCCTTTGTCACCGAGTGTCCTTTTTTGTTCCCACTGTACTGTAAAGCAGGGCTGGGGTTATTTTGACAGAAGTTCATTTGCCTTCTGCATATACCGCTGCTGCTGCTGCTGTCCTCTGGCTTTGACATTTGTCAGAGTCGCATTCGGGGCTTCGAATTCGGGTTTCGGTTTCCTCCTCCTCTCCTTCTCATCCTGTGAGTGGTTCGGTTCGGTTCGGTTTCAATGTTTCGACTTTTATTCGGCTTCCATTTGCTGCATTTGTTTAACGCTCCTTTGTGGCACAGTGCTTGACTAATAGACATTTACATTTCGAGACATTAACTGCTCTTTAGTCGGACAACCCATTAATATCTTCTGGGATGTCTGATTGCGGCGAATGAATAATGAGAGAAATGATTATCGAATAGGTTTTTGGGACTGAGTTACTGTTAAATTACTGTGGAATGGGGATATCAGGATATTTATTTATAGATAATCCTGAGGATAGAGCCACGGTTAATGTTATTTAACCTTTATTCTTAGAAGTTTCGTAACTTAAGGAGAGAAATATAACCCAAATAACGCCTGCCAAAATATTGTAACTCTGGTTATAGATATGTTAAATGAAGGGGAATCTCCTATTTACACATTGTATACTGAGTTAGTTGATCAAGACATGTCACGGTAGTAGCGTTTGCCCTCCCATGTGACTCTGTTTCTAGCCATCCCATTCATTCAAAGCATGTACATGGAAATCTTTTATAATCTCATTGCATGCTGATTTCATTGACAATGTGACTTATCCAGTTTTCAGTCATATCACTGCTTTATCCACTTATCCCGTATTTATGAGTATGCCATGACGACATACCCAGTTTCCATTGTGTAGTTCTGTACCCAAACATGCCTCGTAGAACCTTCAATTACATATGCCACATGGGTGGCTTCACTTCAGAGGCCAGTGGCTGACATTACGCATACCAATTCGATCATTACTGAGCGAGGCTTTGGCACTGCTACCCTCTGGTGCCGCACAACCCTTGGGTAAACAGTGGAAAAAATCATTTCTGTTTCAGTTCCCATTCCCACGCAATTCCGTTTATTGTTTTCACTAGAGAGGGGATCGAGAGAGGAGACAGGAGGAATATAAACAAAAGCTCAGCGATCATCGACGCCTCAATGAAGCGTTTTTTTTCTGCTGCTTGGTCTGCTTTAGTCGTATGTTTTTTCGAAATGGAATTAGTATTCAGTTACCATACGCCATACAGAACGAACGAAAAAAAAAGCAACAGCAGAAACCAGGGACATGGACAGGGGCCGGATGCGGCTACAGTAAAGATCCGATGAATGGAGGCAATCCAATCTGCAATCATTATCTCTACTCTCTGTAGCCATATGCAAAATATGTTTAAAAATAAACTAGCGAAAGGCAAACGGTTCCGAATTCCGTTGCGAATTCATTAATGGGAATGTCACCAGGCCAGAGAGACGAGAGGCTCCACTCCTCCAATGAGAGAGATTGACAGGGCACAGCACCCCTTTAATGGCTGCCTAACTAGATATGTCTTCAGATCCACTTGGATCGGCAGTGGATACACTAACCCCCCTCCAATCCCTCCCTCCCTCCGATTGGGGGGAGCAGCGGCATGAGTGACGGGTATTGGATTTCAGCATGCCATGCACGCGGCGCGGCATGCGGCTGCATATCTGCAACGCCATCTCTCGACTACCTCGGGGTCCCGTCTCCAGCGCTGATTGACATGTGATCCTCATCCCCATTCCCATCTCAATTCTCAACCTCATTGCATCCTCTCAACAAAGTTTCTATGGCTTGCAAATCTTCACCTTGTCCCCTGTCCCCTGTCCAGAGTTCCCTTTTTGACATACCCTCACAGAGGGTAGCATAATGATGACCAGATGTTTTGTGAATCAGATAAATATCATCAGTATTTGTTAAAGTTTTTTTTTTTTTTGCTGAAACTTGGCATTTAAACTTATTTTTGCTCCATCTTAATGCACTTTAATCACACATCTTTCATGTAAGTAAATCAATCTGGCAGGGTATCTAGAGCTTTGGTTCTCAGAGATAGCTTTTCTTTCTGGTTTTTTTTTCTGCCTCTTTAACCTGTTGCTGGTTCTTCTTGGTCGTCGCTGCTCATTTGTCATTCAGGCGAAACACTCACGAGTCGTAAAGTAAGCTTCGTTCCAGTCTACTGCCAAGACCAGGCAGACCCAACCAAGGGAAATAATCTCAGAAAGTCATAAAATTATGATCGGTGCTCTCTGGGAAATTTGAACTCTGGTGGTTTTTTGCCAGCATTTTTTAATTATATTTTGGTTACGGAACATGGATTTCTGTTGTATTTCATGCAACACCTTGTCCCCACAAAAATTCTTGAGAATTACGCGGAGACATTCCAGAGGACTGCGCTGCGCTGCGCTTCCATAGAAATCTGCCAAATGGACCCTCAAGTAAAAACCTTTCCAGATACCACAATAATAAACAGAAACTTAAGAGTTCATTCATGTTTCTCCAGTCCAATACGAAGCGATCCGAACCCCACCCGCTTTAGAGCCAGACCCAGACGATAGCCAGAGACGTGTCATTTTTCACAAACAACGAACGCCTCAATGAAAATTTCCACAATTTCCTCAATGGTCTGGGTTGTGGGCCCCGGCCCCCACATGTAATACGATCGTGATATCTTGCCCAGAAACCCCGCAACGACAGCGGGAGAAAAGTCAGGGCGCCGTGCACACACTGAAGCACTTGAGAGTGTTCAAGATATCATAAACCAAAATTAAGATAAGCCCCAGAGAGAAAGATAGCGCAAAAGTCAGGCTACTCTTTAAAGTGTATTTACCAAAAATTTTGACAATTACGAAACGGATTATATGAAATTTCAACTCTAAGATATACTGTACTTTTACTTTACAGTACATTTTCTTTGCCAAAAATTATCATTTTAATATTTTGGATAGATTTCGGCACAAAGACAAAATTTGGTTGCTCTAGCGCGATGCAGTTGTTCAAATAAACAGAATGATGAACATATGGCTATATATAGAGACTGATGTTGATAAATAAAACGACAGGGTTTTAATCACCCTGACCCTTGCATTCCCATGTAGACCTCAGGTATAGGGTATGATGAACACCAAAAGCTACACTCCAAGTCGAAGTATCTTCTCGACAAATGTAATTTGGCAATAATTAAATGATATATTCATAAACTAATTAATCAATCTCTCGTTGTACCAACACTTCCTTCTCACCCCATAGACCATTTTTCGATAAGATTTTGAAAAACCTTTAGCCACAGGAACCACTTTTCATTCATTTTCATGCTCATTCACAAAAAAAGAGGAGAAAAGCAAACATTAGAAGAGGGAGAAAGAGAAAGAAACACAAAAACTGAGAGCGTTCGTATTTTGACGAGCTAGAGAGCTAATAAATGCCGCCGACCAATCACGGGCTAGTTACCCCTCGGCTAAAACTATACAAACACGAGCATCTTGGAGAGAAATTAGTGATTTTTGTGCGTGTAGAGTTTGTGGATGGTAGTGGAGAGCGTGAACGTGGACTGAAGCTGGGTTCCACAGTGCTGAGACTTTTGTGGACTGTGGTGAGTGCTGGCTGAAGGGGAAGTTTGAAAAGAAGTAGTTGGAACTGGATCTTGTGGAAGGCGAGGTAGATCTGCCAGTGGATTTTGTGTGGAGTGTGGAGATGTTACTTTCAAGCTGTGGAGAGATACAACTTTTAAGCTGTGGATGTTGACTTTGAGTGGATGCTGGGGTAAGGGATTTGTGGAAGGGATTCTGGTGGAATATCAAAAGATGGCACTGTCCCTTATATATTCCTATTCTATATTCCTATATATTTCCTTATTAAATTTCACAGCCTCTTATGTTCTATAAAAGCTCACCAGAAAATCTCGGAAGGAACTTATTGTGTAGAAATATCATCACTCCAGAATACACATATGTATACTCTCTCTCCACACGAAATCACTCTACACACTTCTCCTCCCTGACAAAATGCCGACAAAATGCAACTCATCCACTATTTACCCCTCGTTATGCTCTGCACTGCTACTACAATTCTCTCTTTCGTAAACAGCTGCTTTTTTCAACTCTCCACTGCAGCTGTTCTCTCTCGCGCTCGTTAGCCGACGTAACTCCGCCTCTCGTGCACGCTCGGCAAGTATAAAACGGCGCGCAAAGAGCGAAACATGTTCATTCGTTTCAAAAATTGCGCTCAGACCAGAAAGAAAAGCAAAAAGTAAAGAAATAAAAAGAGAAGAAAAATTTACTTGTGATTTTGAAAATTCAAATTGATTTTGATAAGTCATCGAATACGCATATACGCAAACGAGAGCAACTAAACACGCTGGATTAAAGTGTTTTTTTGTTGGCCGTACACAAAGTGCAAAGAGAATAAAAGTGAAAAAGTTCGTGAAAAAAACCAAACACACGCAACAAAACTCGCAAAACAAAACCAAACACGTATCCCCAATCTCAATACCCAACTTATCCAACCTCGCCCGTAACCGGTACGACCGTGTAAAATCCGCCAAAATTCTACTCAAGGAGCGTAAAGCAATCATCTCCAAAATGAAGTCCCTGACGGCCGTCTGTCAAACAGGTGCCTCCGGCATGCCGGGCATCAGCCCCAATGGACGCATTGCGCGCCACCCACCGCACCGCGGCGACGGCGAGAACGCCGAGATGAAGATGTATCTCTCCAAGCTGAAGGATCTGGTGCCCTTCATGCCCAAGAACCGCAAGCTCTCCAAGCTGGAGATCATCCAGCACGTGATTGACTATATCTGCGACCTCCAAACGGAGCTGGAGACGCATCCGGAGATGAACAACTTCGATGCGGCGGCTGCGCTGACCGCCGCAGCTAACATGGAAGATGACGACAGCGAGGATGAGATGCACCACATGGACGACGACGAGGCCGATTTGGCGGTCGATGCCGATGATCTGCTCGCCCAGCGTCTGGCCGCCGAGCAGCAGCTGGCCAAAATCTCTAGTCCCGCAGCCCGTCTCCCGCTCAGCGATCGTCAGAGCCCCAACACGCTGTTGGCGCCCGGTCAGCCACAGCAACAGCAGCAGCAGCTACAACAGCAGCAGCAACAACTCACCAACAGTTTAGCAACGGTAAGTGTGACAAGGAATGAAGAGGAGAATGAGTTGAATGCAGAATTGAGTGAATCGTTTGAGTGACCTCATTCATCAGGAAATTGTCAATTGTCATGCGTGGCTGTGTGTTGTGTCTGGGTGGAAGGACAAGCCAAAAAATTTACATTTGCCTGAGCGACATTTCTTTAATGTTAATTCCAAGGCGAGGGAGCTTCATCCAAATTCCATGCACTGAAAGAAATTGATGTCACCGGACTAGCTAAATCATACGAAAATTCGGATGTTTTCAAAATCTGTGTGAATGATTGAGTTTTTTCCCGTGTAGGCATTTCACATGAGTGTTTTTTTTTCTCTCTATCTCACTCTGTTTTTCTGCGGCTGTTGTTGTGTCGCCATCCTCCGTTTCTTTCTTTTGTGTTGCCTATACGTAGCTGTTAATTTTTTTCTTTCTCGCGGCCTTTTTTCCTCTGTTTGTTGTTTGTATGATGTGTTTTAAATGAACACCTGCAGATACTAAAATTTATTTCACATACTCATACATATACATACATTTCTATATGCGTATGTATGTGTGTGCACATATGTACTCTCTCATACATACGCACAGGCCAGCTTGAAAACGGAATTTGAAATTGGGGGAATCATCTGTCTCTGTCGTCGTCTCCACCTTGATATTACTGTTGTTGCTTTTTCTTACTTCATTAGCGCTCTTTTTTGGCCGTCTGCCTTTGTTTCGCTTCTTCGCGTTGTTGTTATTAATGATGCTGGCAAAAAATTTGTTAAAAACCTACGAAACAGGTTGAATATACAAAGATTTTTGCTTGATAAAGAAAAAAACCAACTCTTTTTCAATGAAATTTTAACAAATGTTCGCCAGATCGAAGCTGCCTTTTGGGTGGCCCCAAAAACCTATTAACTCTTGATTAATTATCCATTCGAAATGATTTTGCGGAGGTCTCTGCCACTCCGTTTCTCTCATCGTTTATTGAGTGCGTAATACTGAGTATTTGTTGCAAAAACATCTGCATCTTGCGACAGTGATGGTGTGACGGCAAGACGGCGGAACCAACCTAAACGCCCCACATACAAAAGCGTTTGATGTGTCACCATCCAACAAAAGCAACAACAGCTTCGAAAATTCTTTCGAAAACACGCACACACCAACACAGTCAGAGACTCAAGAGAACTGTAAAAAGAAATGCACGTGTTCAAAATGTTCTCTCTCTGTGGGCTGCTGTCTGTGGTTGTTGTTGCTCTTGCCGTTTCTTTTTTGTACGTTTTCGCGCCGTGCAGCTGTGCGCCATTCGGCCCGTCGCTTTCTACATTGTGGTGCCATGCCGCCCCCCCAAACCCCCCTTGACTGATCATGCCTTTGCCCTCGCCCATTGCTGTGGTCAGTCCAACAACAGTAACGACAGTAACAAGGAGAGCGGTAAAGGAGGATAGGAGGATAGAGAGTCACACAAACAAGCTTGTGTGACAGCTCGTTTGATGTTCTTGGCGCCTCTTCAGGTCCCTCCTCTTCACCCTCTAGGCATCGCTGTTTGCCTCCCACCCCCCGCACATCAACAGATCAATTGATGATAAGAGAGAGCAGGCAGATCTACAGTGGGTTTAATGTGAAGACAAAAACAACAGTGGAATGGGGAATTCGATGATTAGTGGAATGGGCAATGAATGTGCGATTGAGAAATATTATTATTAAAACAAATTATTATATTTAAATGATTGTAAATGGAAAACTAATTTGTGCTTTTTCCCCTCATCTCTGTCATTTCAGCAAGCGAACGAAGCAGCGGAGAAAGACAGCAGGCAGTCGTAAGCAGCAGGCTGACTAAACAGCGGCCAGAGGGAGAAGAACCTATGGAACCTATAAAAAATTATTAACTAAATGCATAATCAGTACCGATATACCGAGTGTAATTATAGCCACAGTGCAAGTACAGTCAACGCCACTCGCAGCAACCTTCGTGTGAAGAGATCTCCACATATAACCAAGCACGCATCTAAGAATAACGTAAAAGTAAACTCTCCAACAGCTGTCCTGCTCTCGCTCTCCCACGCAGGAAGAAAGAATGAGAGAGAGAGAGAGAGAGAGGGGGAGTAGAGCGGCTCAGGCATTTCACACATATAGCAGATAGAAACGAAGAATGGAAGGAAGGAATATAACCACACACACCTAGCATTAGGGCATTATAATTATAATTATTAATTAAACACTAACTATTAGCGGGAGAGGAAGATAATGATGATGACGATGAAGATGGAGACAAGAAGAAAGAAAGAAAAACTTGGCAAAGCTTTAAACAATTTAATTTTTCCCCTTTTTTAACCCCTTGCTTAAAAATTGATTGAACAATTTTTTATGTTTTCCTAATTTTAGTTTTGTTTTGGTTTAAACAATACAAAAAGAAAATGTTACTAATGCAAAGCAAACACAGAGATCAGCAATACAATTAAATAATATTACACCTAAATAAAACTCTAAAAGCAAACACCTAAATAAATGAAATGCAAATAATTCGCATTAAAATGGAAAAAAAACGGGCATAAAATTTAATTATAATTTCAATCAATGATTTTCCTATTAATTTTAAAACTAAAACGTAAAATGAATGATTCTTCCTATTATTGATTAGCTTGAACAAGAACAACAACCCACTCAGCACACACAGATTTCATTAATTTATATCAAATTTAGTGTTTAACGTTGGCGGAAGTGCTAATTTCCACCCCAACACTAATTTTCACTCAAACACACGCAAACCTCATAATTTTCAAACGTTTTCCTCTTTTCGTTTTATTGACTTAACAAATAATTGCATTATAATAATTACCGCAAATATATATATACTAAACGAAAAACCTATAAATATATATATATAAATATATGTTCTGTGATCTGTAGCATACTTTGTACAAAGTGTTTTTTTAAGCATAATATTGCGATTTTTAATTATGATTTATGATCCGAAAACGAATTCAGACTCTGATTAAAATTTTTGTGTTCTCATTTCGGTAAGCTCTATCATGATGAAAAGGCGAGAGAAAAAACCTTGGATCAAACGAATGCGAAAAAAAATATACATATATCTAAAAAAGATTGATTAAAAAACAAAAACAAAACAAAAAACAAGAAGAAAAACTACAATTTTTAGCTCTTAATAAATTGCAAAATGGAAAAAATTATTACAAATCGTTAACATTTTTCACTGGGTCTATGGGGGTGGGTTCTGTTCCAGAAACTACCTGGAAACTCTGGGGAAAACCAATTCCCATGCAAACAAGTGCAACGAATTACAGACAACACAATGCGCGGGCTGATAATGCCCCTCGGCCAGGCCAGAGTCGCACAGTCGAACGAGTTTTCTCACGCAGCCTGACAGAGCAGAGGATCGCATGGGATCGTTAGAGGCAGGTAGCCCAAAAGGGCGGGCCAGTTGTTACACCCGTTGCACGTGTGCGAATAGCCGTTGAGAAACGTCGAGAGTTTTTCGGGCGACAGTTGACCGCTCGACCGACCGACCGCTGCTGGATCTATTCCGGGTGTGGATTAGGGTTTGGGTTTGGGTTTTGCCCGCAGCTGCATCCCACTACTCGGATCTTTCTCTCTCCATCTATCCAGAGCCACAGATATCTGTGTGTGCCTATTAGCGGTAATGATTGCCGCTACAATGCAATGACCAATTGGCAATTGCAACTAGTCTCGGGTTGCCGTAGCCGGAGTCGCTCGGTGCCAGTCGCCCCATTCAAATGTCAATTCAGATTGGACCCCTGGCTAAAGCGAAACAAAACAAAAAAGCTAAATAGCTATGGTGTGTTTTTCAGCGGGTTGGCACAGTCTTGGATGCTCTGTAAAAATTTGGGGGAGAAAGGTCTTTCTTTTCAGAGAATTTCAGTGGAATTTATTTAGTCAACAAATTACCAAAAATTAATATATCAAAGAAAGATTTTTTATTATAGAAAGTGTTTTCTGATGGTTTGGATTCTTTAGATGGGATTAAGTTGTGTAAGATTGGGTCAAATTTTAGAGATGGATTAGCTATGTATTCTATGTATTACATGGGAACCTTTGTCTAAAATATTGTCGTTCCTGTCTCATTTCCACGTATATGCTATTTCCATGTTTTCCTAATTTAATGAAAAACTAAAGTACCCACATAGTGGCAAGGGTGTTTATACGGTAACACAAAACGAAATCTTAAATTAAACCGAAGAGAAAAACTTGAGTGTTCCCATGCATTGTCTATGGGGGGACACACATATTGCGTTCGCCGCCCGTTCTGGGGGCCAACGATCTCCGCCGACTTCGACTTCGACTACGACTCCGGTCCCGACAATGGAATGCGCTAATTGTTTGCAGAGCTCCCAGATCGGGGTGAGTCGCCCGGATCCGACGTAGCCAATGGCCGTCCAGGCCTGGCTGGCCCCACGCGCAATTAGCGCGCGCACCTTGGTCCCGTCCCGTCCCCGTACCGTCGCTCCCCCCATGGATCCGAGCCGAGCCTCACCCAGCCCCCCTGCTCGGTTTTCACTCAAGCACTTTGTTGCTTTTTTGGGTGCGGACTGCGAACGGCGAACTGCCGCCTGCCGCTGGAGAGACGAGAAATCAGTGAAACTTGAATTACCATAAAAACTCGTGTAGCAGTCAACAGCTGCGCGGGCAACTCCGTTGCGAGAGACTTCCAATGGCCGTGCCGGAAAATTTTGACATAATAATTGTCAAGCTGACATTTCCAACAACGCAGCTGACAGCTGAGCCCAGCCGAAGTTGAATCGAATACGAACGCCCGAGCCGAAGTGCAATTCCTCTCAGATGCAGTCTCCACACTGAAAAAAATATTTACAGCCAATTAATGAAGGAACAATATATAAGTTGCAGGTGGAAATACGAAATTTAAGAAAAGTGAAAATATCATTACCATATTTAAAGCAAATTCATCTAATGTGTGGTATCCACAATTCTTAAGTTATGCAACTGAATTTTGTTTACTTTATCTGCCAATCTATGAAAGATTGTAGTCATCGGATCATTAATACAGTCAGAAGAAGGAAAAGTATAGCAGCCCTAGTATGTTCTTGCTGAACATGCAAACATAGGCGGAATTTCCCTCTCTTGTTTTCACCTTTCAAGTGAGCACCAAAAAGTTTATAAACTATTTTAGTTAACTTTTGTTTAGTTCTTACTGGGTCTTTTCTTTCAGTGAGTGTGCGCCTTAGTTAGAGCTCTACGTAGAGTCTCCAAAATGAAAGCTAAGCCACAATCGACCGACTCAGGCAATGCCGGCTCTTGGCGAGGGGTGCGCATAAAAATCGCATTTAATTGTGATTTTCACACGAAATACAATGCGCATGAGCAACTGGCGCCGCTGGTTAGGAGGCGGGTGCTGTGGCAGGGGCTGTGGCTGTGGCTCTGGCAGTCGCTGCTGCAATACTTGATGGCAATTTGTGTAACTAGCGGTAAAGCGTAACTACTAAACAGCCCGCAACAGCGGGCCAGTATCCAGGCAGTGTGTGTGGGGTGTGGGGTTGCTACCATGGCTTTTAGCAGCGGCGGCGGTGGTGGTGGTTGGCTTTTGGGAAACACCTGCAAAACGCAAAACGCACCTGTTTCGCTAAACAGCCGGCAAAGGCAGCAGAGCAACGAAAAAACTAAAACAAAGTCAGACACCAACACCAACGCCGGCAAAACAGCAGAAAAGCGGACACGGCTCAGCAACTTTCGTGGGTTTCCCGGCTCACAACAGCAGTGTTGAGAGAGAGAGAGAGAGAGAGTGTAGTGGTGGGGAGAGGAGGGGTTCCCTATGGGGAACCGCATGACTTTTGTGTAATTGAAGCAGCCAGGTGGCAGGGGGCATGGTTTGGGCGAGAGTGCCAGTGCCCCATGCGAATTAGGAAATCGAAACCAAGTCGAAGTCGAAGTCAAAGCCGGTGGACAAAAGCAAGGGGAAGTCGAAACCAGGTGAAGTCAGTCCACACTGAAAGAAAAACACGGATAGGAGTTTATAAAGTTTATAAAATAAGTAAGATAAATAAAGTATTGACGGAGTAATTTTTAAAACACACAAACATTCCAAAGGATACTTTCTACTCTATACTTTCCTGCATATTCGTGAGCGTTTCGGTTATACGCGCCATGCAGCAGCGCACCTCGATTGGCTTGGCATTTCTGCCGGGGATTTTAATACTTTTCTATTTTGGGTTTTTTCCAGTGTACTAAAAGTAAAAAAAGGGGCTAGAGTCAAGTCAGGTGGTTCAATCGGAAGCGCAAAAGAAAGACCAGGCTAGATAGTGGGGGATTGTGAGACTTGGAACGCCACATCAGCTGGCGGAAGTCACTCAGCAGCTGCCAGAGTACGAATGGGAGTCGGGGTCCAGCATTGATTTCAGCTGCGTCACCATCAAGCCCGCCCCGCCCCGCCCATCGTGGCACTGTAATGGGGTGTATGGGTAGGGGAGGAGTGGGGAGGGGAGTGTTGACCAAAAGGTGGCAGAGGTGGTTGCAATACCCATACCCTGGCCATATGTTGGCCTAATGACAGCTCTGACTGGAAAACCTCAGCTCCAGCTTCAACATCAGTTTCAGCTCCACCTTTGGGGCAAACAATGGCGATGACAATGGCCGAGTCGAGGTGCGGCTGCTGCTGCTGCTGTTGTTGCAGTTGCATTTTCAGTTGTTGTTCCTGACATTTGATCGAAAGCCAATCGCTGCCGCAGAAGCCAATGCTGGGTCATAAGTTCCAGGCAGCTTCAGGCGCTACCATTCCCCAGTCCAGTGCCACATCGATGGGTGACGAACTCCCTTCCATCAGTCTTCGTGCCACAGATCCAGTGGAGTGTCAAACTGTAAATTGAATAGAATTATACATAATTCCTTATCGCGAATTGAATTGTTGTGGCCTTTGGGTCTGTTCTTTTTGTCCAGCGGCGCTGACTAATGCTGCCACCAGAGTTGTTGGCGACCACCAGCAGCAGCTGCCCAAAAAAAG